GCGTTGTCGATTAGATTCGGTTCTCTGTGATGCGATCATCCCTGAGACGCGATCCCCTCGAGAATCCATTTTGAATCGATCCAATTGTTAATGCGCACGTGAAGCGGGTTAAATTGAAATCGGCAGGTTTGATAGTATAACGATCTATTCAGTGTTCAGTAGCTCCATCAATTCAAAATGATCCAGCGCAAAAGACGATTTATTATGTAGTGTGCATGAGGCCAAAGACAGCTCTCTTGTCACCTTTGTGCCTTGATTGTGTCTTCCTGCATGGCAAGGGGTTCAAAAGATGGTCCTTGAGGTCTCTTCCAACTCTGTGATTCTCTTCTCCAAGCTAAAAATATCCACATCCCCAAATCTTGTACCTTTCCATGCCATCCTTCTCCATCCTGTGCATTTTTGGAGCATCTTGCGCTCCTCTCGGATGCCTCCTTCAGCTCAGCGGCTTCCAAAAAAAAACCCACAACAAATTGGGCAAGGCTGGGCTTGGAATCCCTGAGATATCATATCATCGACCCCATTAACGTCTGTCATTTTAGGGTGCTGAGTGATCCCAGCCTACGTTAATGGGTTTTGCATCTTAATTCCTATTTCGGGGCTCCTTGGAAATGAGAATCATCCGGCGTGACTTGGGACGGCTTCCAGGGTTGTGTGCGATGGATAGATTTGGATTCGAGTGCCGCGCAATCGGGGATGAGTCAGGGAGAGGCGTTGCATGCTTGCAAAAGCTTTCCTGTATTTTATCTCAAGCGAATACTCACTTTTTTGCCCCATAAGTGTGGGAGGTTGGTGCAACCAGCCCAGATGGCAAATGTCAAATTGCCCTTCCAAGTTGTCTGAGTCTTATTTATTTATCTTTTTGGCCTGATCAGAGTAGTAGACCCATGGAGTCAATGGGATTTTCTTACATGTGGAGTCGCAATTCAGCAATAGATTTAATCTGGCAAAATAGATTTAGTCTGGCCGGGGCTGCATCTGCACTGCAGAAATAATGCAGTTTGACACTGCTTTAAATGCCATGGCTCCATCCTATGCAATCCTGGGAGTTGTAGATTGATGTGGCACCAAAGCTGTCTGATAGGGAAGACTGGATATCTTACAAAACTACAAATCATATGACTCTGGAGGCCAGGGTTCAAATCCCAGCTTGGCCATGGAAACCCACTGGGGTGACTTTTGGCCAAGTCACACACTCTCAGCCTCAGAGGATGGCAATGGCAAACCCCCTCTGAAGAAACTTGCCAAGAAGACCCCATGATGGGTTTGCTTTAGGGTCTCCATAAGTTGGAAATGACTTGGAGGCACGCAACGCACAACAATGAAGGAAGAGAGGGGGAAATGGGGCAGTCGAAGGTAAGGAGGAGAC